GTAGACATGTATAGACAAACCCCACATAATCCCACCTCCCACAGATACTAACACGGAGGAGCATTTATTTGCACTATTTTTTCTTGTGTACAAATACATGCTTTAAAGTAAAGAAAAGAAAATTGATTATGTAGATTGATTATATTCTCCTTTTCATAAAAATATTGATGAAATAATGAGTATGTTCCTATGCCATTATATATTCATTGATACATGTTGGTTATGGCTGCACAGCATTTCATCCCATGGATATATTTATGGGATCAATTTCCTATTAGACTTTTATGTTGTTTTTAACATTTCAATTATCTAAATAATACCGAAATGTTTACACTTGCATTAACATCTTTGTGCACCTGTAGTGGCATCATTAGGATAACTTCCCAGATGTGAAATTATTGAGTCAAATGGTGTGAACATTGTTAGGGTTCTTGATATATTATTGTTCCTCACATATAAGACATAACAAATTCTAAGATGTACAGTTATTACTTTATGCTTTTTATGTATTATTTTATGTATGTAAGAATTGAATGATGCTACTTAAGCATCATGTTTTCTTACCACTTACAACTTTTATAGTTACTGAGTTTTTCTGGTGTTATTTAAATATAAAATTGGTTCATATTTTATTCTTATATGCTGCAAAGAAGGGACAAAAATCGTGGCTAAGGTATTCACCCCTAAACTTCCCCATCCTTTGTAATTCTGTGGGGTCCCTGATCTTAAGTATCATCAGTAATGCTGTGGTGCTGCATATGTTTTTATAAAAATGTGCTCCTTTTTTTGCTCTAGGATTTACTTCTAACCACTGCCATCCATTCTTAAAATCTGATGTACTGAAAAGGCAAGGACAACTAAGTCACATCTGTTACTAGGGATCGCAAAGCACATCTCAGTGCGGAGATATTAAAAACGTACCTCAGAGGAAGGGTGGAATACATTAAACTGCAAATTTCCTGCCAGAAAAGTTTTACTGATGTTTTTCTCCCACCAGCAGCACACGAAGTAACCCATTTCATTTACAACTCACTCCACGCTGGGAATCTTTATAACGAAAAACCTTTGGATAGGTGATATGCAGTATCTCGCTTTGATTTGGACTTCTTTCATTGTTTGATCTGATGAAATTTTTTTTCAGACATTCTTGGTCACTTGTATTTCTTCTTCTGCTAATTAATTGTTCAAATGCTTGGCTAGTTTTCCTATTCTGATATTAATCTTTTATCCATTAAGTGATCTCTACATGCTCCCAATAAATTTAGTAAGGGTGTTAATATTTCACCATATTTTGCAAATAGTTTTCTGCCTTAAGTTTTAGTGTGATTTTTATTTCATTTTATGGTATTATTTTCATTATGTACAGATATATTTGTTTGTATGTAACCAAGTCAACTAACATTTTTCTTTGTTTTCTTCACTTGTTTTTATGTTTTAAAAAGTCTCTCAATTTAAAATAAGTATTAATCTTTACTTGCTTCTATTTCACATTGATTGCTGTTTGTTTTGACAGATTCTTTGATGCACAATAACATTACCTTAGTGAGAATCTAACCTTATTTTTTTCTACAAAAGTCAATTACTTATACCACTACAACTGACTAAGCCTTAACTTTCCTACTAGTTTAAGATGTCAACTTCTTCAAAAACAAATATTTTTATATTTACTAGGGTCTGTCTATGGGATAGCTATTCTCATCTAGTACTTTGTAGCTCTATTCTTGTCCCAGGGTCATATTATTTTAATTATTAATTGAGGTGACTATATAGTTTAGCAATCAAATATCTACCTCTGCATGTGAGTTATGTTTGGATGATAGGAACAAACTTAGACTACTTACTATGGTTTTATGATGTTTTTCACCTCTGCTTGAACAAGATTTCCTTCATGACTTATTTTCAAAACTGGAAGCTCTTTTCTGAAGCATAGAAATATACAGATCTTAATAATGATAAGATGAGTATCTGAGAAGCATTTTTACTTTGTGTGTGAAGTTCATCCACATTCGTGTGAGAATGATTTGTTCAGTCTAAATGAATTTGTATTGATTTGGATTTTTAAATAGATTTCTATGACTTTTTGTTGCTTTCTACTTAAATTACATGCAGTTGAGAGATACTACACAGGGCCACCTACCTTGTTTATGTCATCTCTCTTTTCCTTTGGTTTCTATATGGTCAATTATTTGCTCAGTCTTTCCTTGGAACCTTCTAGCTAGCTGTGATTCCAGGTACTACTTACATTTCTCACTACCGTATGTGCCATTCCACATTCTTGATATAGGGAAAAGAAGCACCCAATCTGAAAGATATCTGGGACAAGTTTGTGTTCTCTAAAATATGAGTTCTCTAAAAGAATGAGTTTTAGGAACAACAGAGGTTAAGAGCAGAATATATTTATTGGGGGAAAGAAAGCTTCTGTCTGAGAGAGAGAGACAGAAGGGGACCTGAGTGGGTTGCCAAGGAACCTACCTTTTCTAGGGATTGTTATAGAGCAAAACCACGAGAGGGGGCAGGTCTAAGGTCGAAAACTTGGGAACTCTCAAAGTGGGCATGAGGTAGGACAAAACTGTGGTCAGCCAGCAAGATTACAAGCATAATTACTCAGGTAAAATTAATTAAATTGGGATCAAACGAGGAAGTGAGTCATGTAGCAAGTGGACATGAATACAGAACAGGGGCTTTTCCTGTAGGGGGTTGGGTTGGCGACTGTCTGGCTTTTTCAAGGTGATTGATACCTATGTAGAATATGAATCCCTGATATCCATCCTTAGGGAGTTATGTGGGTGCATTTATTTTTTTTGTCTTGAGGTCTGGCCCACAGCAGAAGTGCCTGTCTCTCCCACAGTTGCAAGGTATCTTGTCTTCCATACTGGCTCCACTGAAGGCCTGGCCCTGTCTGACTGCCTATTATATTTCTATCTAACTCAGCTGCCTGCAACATTCTCACCCTGTTCACCTGCTTGGGCACCCTCATCACTCATTAGTACAGATGAGTAAAGCTCAATAGAGCCTCATTTCAGATACTTCCCAAAGGGAAGGATGCAAATACATAGATCTCTGCCCTTATGATCACAGGTCCAAGCTGAGTCGGGGACAGACAGGCCTTTCCCACAAATCCAGACAGGACAAAGTCTTGCCCAGGTCTCAGATTGTTTTGCACTGTGGCAGGAGGCCAATGGCTTTAGACTTTATTTGTCTTGCAACATTTATGCCTGCCTTGTAGACGCTGTCTGATTCACGGTCTCTAAGGCCACCACGGCTTCAGCCATTACATTTCTGGGCTATCATGTACTGTGTGATGCCCCCTACCCCTTTATAGAGACATTGCTATGAGTCTTTGTCTGCACAGGAACGTAAAAATCCAAGGAAGTCGATCAGCCAGTGTCTGTTGAAAAAGTTCTGAATGACTTTCCAGCCAGAGACGTCTATGAAAAGCAGAGCTCACCAGGCTTCCTGCTTGTTACTTTTGATCTTAATTTTAATGAAAACATTTCAGTAGAGAATGAGACATCACAGACAAAGGTTGGGTGGGTAATTCCTGAGCATCATCCTCACAGTTAGCTTTTGAAGGCCACATCTTTCTCCTTAGGCGTCCTTTGCCTTTTTTACCCTGCTCCTATCCCTCATCTTGATTGCTGCTCCTGGGTTCCTTTGTCACGTCTTGCCTTTCCTCTCACACTAACTCACATTTATTAAAACTCATGTGTTCTTTCTTCTGCCGCACAGCTCACCATGCCCCTTCTTTCTATTTTATTAGGTAAGCATGTTCAAGGTAGCCGCACCAGTCTCTGAGGGATCCCTATCCTTGGCAACGCTCACATTTAGGAAGTTGCCAAGTTACAAAATAATGTACTTCCAATGTACATAATACACATTTATTGAATCAAGTATTGGTTAAGTGCTGGTTGCTGGCTGAGAATTTTTGTGTTTGCGAGGTTGTCCTTCAGCACCGTGATGCTTGAATAGAACTGTCTGCTTCCTGATGGCATTCCCATGTATGTGTGCAAGGTTTCTGTGTTCCTTGAGCACATAATCTTTAGCTTCAGCTTTGCAAATTGTACCTTTCTCCACATAGTTCGTCCGTAAGACACCTTAGTCACTGTCTGAACTCCCCGGATGAAGAACAACTGTCTGCACTCACTCACAGAAAATCAGTGGTATCCCTGGGAATACAGCAGTAGCCCTGGAGCCATCAGGGTCTATGGGGTGAGATCCACTGGGCAATGAATATAACGTTATTAAAATATCTTCAGAGACAGCACAGTCTCTTTGATGGTGGGGGCAATTGTCCGGCAGGTTGTTTCCCAGGATGTAATTTCCAGGGGGCACAGGGAAGAGCTCACTGTCAATTTTTTTTTTTTTTTTTGAGACAGAATTTCACTGTAGTGAAGGCTGCCCTTGACCTATGTCGCTCAGGCCGGCCTTAAACTAGTGGCAGTCCTCCTGCCTCAGCCTCCTGAGTGCTGGGATTACAGGCATGCGCCACCACGCCTGGCTTCATTGTGAACAATGAATACCCAATGAGTGAATGAATTAATCAATGAATGGAAGGGAGATGGGCAGACAACTGGGCATATGTTTTTAGGGTTTCCCGGATCTGGGGCATGAGTGGGAAGGACTTCTCATATCCTAGTATTTCCTCCTTAGGAGTTACCAGAAAGGGCCAACTTTGAGCACCTCTGTGACCCCTTTTTTTTCTTTGCAGCGTCCAGAGAGAACAAAGCCTTTATGACACTTGCTTTACTTTGCATCTTTCTTCTTTGCCGAAGGTGGGTCAGCTTTGAGAAACAATTTGTTCAGGACTATTTACTCCAGGAGGTCTAGAAGCTTAAATATGTTTTGTATCCTGTTTCAGTATAAAAAGAAAGAAGGGGGGTGGTGGGGTGTGAGGGGTGCGCTCGGACGGCCCCAGGCTAAATAAACATCCTTGGCCTCTAGTAGCTTCGGGGTTCGAGTTTTCCAGCTGGCGGTCTGACAAGGCGGCCTGCTTTCCACAGGTGTGGGTGTGGGCTGCTCCCCCAAGCCACATACCCTGCCCAGTGACACAGGACACAGGGCCGGCATTTCAACGCGGAGCTCCCCTCCGAGGTACGCGGTACCTCTGGGCGGGCCTGTCTTTGCGGAGAGTCCCTCCTCTCCTCGGCGGGCCACCCTCTGGGAACGCAGTCCGGGCTGCCCTAGAGCGGGGCGCCGCGGGTGGCGCGGCTGGCGGCCTGGCCGGTGGGGGGCGCTGTCCGGTGGGAACCCCGGACGC